ATTGCGGAGGAACCAGAAAAACCAACATCAATGACATACACATGTGACAACACCTTAGTGTCCTGTGGTTGTGGTTATAATTATGTTCAGCTCACTTCATCAAGAATTGTAGGTGGTGAAGAGGCACTACCTAACAGTTGGACAATGATAGTCTCTCTTCGACAAACTTCTACCAATCGCCACTTCTGTGGTGGTTCTATTCTATCCGATTCTTATATTCTCACAGCAGCTCATTGTATCGATACTGATTCACCTGATGACGTAATAGTTGCTGCTGGTATGCATAATAAATCTGATGAAAATGCTGTCATTCGTCGAGTTGATCAGATCTTTGTTCATCCTAACTGGTCACAACCTGAATATCTCAATGATATTGCAATTTTACGTTTATCAGAACCACTTGAACTTGCTCAAAATTCAATGCTCACAAGAACTTGTATACCACATGTTCACTGGCCCACTGATATACAAGACTATCCATCAAGCGGCACACCTTTAGCAACGATTGGTTGGGGTCATACCGAAATGGATAACCATACAAGTTCACCGGACAATCTTCATCAAGTTCAAGTATTTTCCATTGATAACAATGATCCAAATTGTACTAGATCACTCTATAACAAAGAAATACAATTTTGTGCTGGACTTTCCCAAGGTGGCAAAGGTTTGTTTCAGTTCACATCTATGTTTCGTGTATGATATTTATTTTGTCTCTTATTTATTCTAGATACTTGTCAAGGTATGTATCTATTTGTGTAATATTGATTGTTGAAACAAGTTTTCGTTCTACTAGATGATTCTGGTGGACCTATTTTTCAATGGCTTGGTAATCGATGGGAACAGGTGAGAATATTGTAACATAGTAAACTTTCTGTTGAATCGAAGTTTTTCCATTTCTATCTCGCCTGCTCAATAGGATACTGGTGGGCGGAAAATCCGCCCATTATTTCTCATCTTGAGAATATATGCGAGAAGGCAATGTGATATATTGATTCAGGATTATTTGAAGTGAATCATACAGATTTGGAAATAGCCCTTTTAGCAGTTTGATGAGATCAAGTTTGATTGTATCAAGAGGGAATCGGCAGAGTTCCATAATTCCAAATTCCATGGGAATCCGATGGAAGTCCCAGGAGTTTTTAATGTAGATGTCTGAAGAACCCTGAAATTATAACTATGCTCATGGATAACAAATTTCACTTCATTCATTTAATATTTTGAAATTCATTCCTTTAAGAAAACAATGTAAAGGTATAGAAAGTAAAGGTATGGGTGTTGCGATTTTTTATGGATAGAAAGAATGCGCAGATTCACACCCTTATCGATATCGTTACTGAAGATTCAGCGCTAGAGAAGCGGCGGCTGTCTTATTTATGCAGTTGAGATAGGTGAGAAATCTCAAACGCTTTTGCACAATGGCGTTCATATTGATTCCTAGAAGAATAAATCGGAGTACAGTTCTAAACTCGACATAAAATATATTGTTACAGTTGAATCATGGATTAGCTTCCAAGACGCGAACCTGTGGGATTTTCATCTTGTTCAATACTTAGGAAGTCGTAGTTTTGCAATCAACATCACTCTTCTTACACTAATCAATAATGATCTACGCATTAACATCAATACAAAAAGAAAACATAAGTAAATAATCTATCGACTTTTTATCAGATAATATGACTGATATACTAATCGATTAGCTCATATTAGTTCATTTTACGGCTCATTTAACCAAATGGGCGTGATTACTGGGAAAGTGTAACAGGTTAGTTCCAATTGATGTTACTTTGGTTTTTTTCTGCCCCTTTCATTGACAAAGGAAAATGATATAGGAGAGTTTTTTGTGTCACTAGTATTGATGAATATCTTACGAGAAAATTTTTGTGTAGACTTAGTGATGTCCGGGCTACTTTCTTGCTGTGGAAGAGTAAACATCACTCGACTTTCATAATTCAAGGAGAGCTTGAAGATACCGAGTGAGTCTTAGAGAAAAAAAGGTAAACAGCTAGAAAACAAAAAGAATAGAAATAAGGAACTTGATGTGGATTCTGGATATTCGAACAAAGTTCAGGCAATCCAGTACATATGAAATCTATTTTGTTTTCCTTTCAAATCTATGAGTTGAACTTTTCATTAAAGTTTCCAAAGTGTCACAAACGACAAGAATAAGACTATTTTGAAACTACAAGCTTCAAAATCATCTCATGATCATCTCTTGTGTGATGAGTTTAGAAAGACTATTTGTCAAGTTTATGATCTAGCCTATCATCTTCGTTCTAGATTAGGTGCTAATTTTGATTGAAAGAAAACAAGAGAATCTTTGATGATACAAAGTCGATCATTTGTACGGGTCTAACGTGAAAAAAATTCGTAACGTCTAATCTGACGAAAATCATGACAATCTATTGGATCAAGAGTCAAACTAGTACTTCAAATTTAATATTACTTTTTCTGTCCAAATCAGAGAAATACAGTTGATTCTAAGACAAAATTCATGATTTGTCTTCTTTGTCACCTAACGATAAATCTCAACTTCATGCGATGCGAGTCTTCGAGCTAATTTCTCCTTCACTCTCAAACTCTATTCTTTTGTGTCAAGACTGATGTCAAAAACAATATAGTCATGGATAGAAAGTCTCTTGTCTTTTTGTAGACAGAAAGGCTATACTACTACCTGATTAAGCCAAGCATGTGCAATTGTCAGATTATCGAATGAATAAAAGGTTATAGATGAGACGCTATTCATTCATTTGATACGACATATTTCTTCTATTACTCATTAATGTGTGTTACTCCTTATTGCTGTTTTTATTATTCTACCTCGAACATTTTTCGATAAAACTAAGACAGTAAACTGCGCTTTTATCAAAATTGACTTGATACCGATCTATTCAGGTTAAGCTCCCTCAAAAAAAGTCACTTTTCGTCGAAATGATCGAAATTGAGATAAATTCATGGAGAAATAGTTTGTCGTGTGCTCCTTCATAAATAAGAAGAAATTTTACTCAGCATCTCTTTTTTTTCAAAAATTTTGGAAGATTTTTCCCATCACCACCCAATTCGAAAAGCAAACTCTTTTTTTTACAAAAACAACCGAAAATCATTTTTTGTTTTTCTCAGAACGTGGATTCAACGACGTAGCACCAGCTAACCCTATCATAGTAAGAGATAAAGTCAAATACTTTTTTTGTTTGAAACTTTGTGTCTAGGGTTACCCCCCTCGTGTCTCTCTTTTTAAAATAAGACTTTTTATTATCATATAAGAGAGCACCTCTTTAGAAACAGCACCATTTTTTTAGGGATTTTTTGAGAGTCATTGAACTTGTCATTCCTTTTCTTCATTTAAAAAGTGAGAATTCTTACAAAAAAGGTCACGGGAGGGATTGTATTCTGACATGCTCTTTCAAATAAGAAAAACTTAAATATCTAGAATGAAGCCTCACAGAGAAAACTTGGAGGTACGATCGAGCAATTTTTGACCCTTGTTTGGAGAATATCTCTATTAAACATCGTGTTATAGGGGTGAATATTTTACTAAAGTTGTTGTTCACCAGTTCCAACATATCCTGCCAGTTTCATGCAATTTGGTTTTATGAGATTTTCAGAGCTAGAGTGAGGATCATAGTGATTAAATATGAATTTCGGGAATTCAATTTGTTATTATAAACATTGTGAAAATCACATAAGAATCTCGGGAACTGAGAACCCAGAGTCCGCCCTTTCTCCCTAGGATTGTATAGATCAGACATAGTAACTTGTATTATTTGCCATCAAAACTGAGAGATTGATTCTCTTTGCAAGTACTGTCCGACGTCGAGAAGCATCAAATGAACGGATTTTTACCAATAAACTTGGCATACGTAACATCATAAGGCACCATCTTAGCTGAAAACCTTGAATATCTTAGCAGCAAGAACCGTTGCATTCGGACGTACCCTATATGCTACTTCCTTGGAAAATTGACAGTTTCTGCTATGTTCTGACACAAAATCAGTCCATCATCATTTCTTGAGAGTGGAAAATTCAGATAACTGTTTATTCCAATTGTGTCGAAATGCGAGCCTCTTCGATAGAGACAACTTCTGGATTTTGATTATTAGACTGTTGAACTATGGTTGAGATGATTTGATTTCATTATCAGAGAACTATTTGTTTAGGTGGGTATAACAAGTTTCGGTAAAGGATGTGCCGTCGCAGGTGATCCAGGTATTTATACACGACTAGCTTCTTATCACCATTGGATTCGATCGATTGTAAACGACAATGATGTTCGACCACCAATATCCTATACATGTGACAATACAAAAGTATACTGTGGCTGTAGTCTTAAAAATGTTGAACTTACACCATCGAGAATCGTTGGTGGAGAAGAAGCAGTACCCTATACTTGGTCATTCATGGTCTCCTTGCAACATCGTTCGTCCAACAGTCACTTTTGTGGTGGTTCAATCTTTTCAGATTCTTATATTCTCACAGCAGCTCATTGTGTTGATGATGAAACACCTGATCGTATACAGATTGTAGCTGGTGTGCATAATAGATCTGATCCAAATGGTGTAATCCGTGAAGTAGATTACATTCATATTCATCCGGATTGGTCATCATCATCGATGGAACGTCGGCATGATATTGCGATGTTACATTTGTCACAACCACTCGGACTTGCTTCAAATCCATTGTTAGCACGAATTTGTGTGCCAAAAGTTCAGTGGCCAAACAATGTTGAAACTTATCCGAGTAATGGTACACGTTTAGCTGCAATCGGCTGGGGTAATATAAAACAGGATTGGACCAATAATTCACCAGATAATCTGCATCAAGTTCAAGTTTTCGCAATTGATAATAATGATCCAATTTGTAATAAATCACTTTTTGATACACAAGTACAATTTTGTGCTGCACTTTATGAAGGTGGCAAAGGTTAGTTTCAATCTATTCAAGTGTCTCTCTATCTCTCTTATACTTTGTTTTTTTTTTCTGTTATTCTTTGTAGATACTTGTCAAGGTATGTATTCGCTAGTTTACTTATGCTTAGATTTTTCTAAGAAAGTATATTTGTTTAGGTGATTCTGGTGGACCAATCTTGCAATGGCTTGGTGATCGATGGGAACAGGTAAATAGATTCATAAGTAAATAACGATAAAATTGTTATGAAAATTTGAATCACTCCGATAGAAAAGATCGTTGAAGAAGAATGTTTCTGTCACCATAGATGTAACCTATATATTCGGAGTTGTTTCGAAGTCATGGCACTTTTGAAAGGAAAATAGTGTGCAAGAAAAATTTTCCGCTTGTTACACCTGCTTCTTCGTGAGATGGACGAGGTTTTAGATGCTGTGGGTGTAAACACGAGATGGATTTGGGTGGCAAAAGTCCAACCTAGGAAGTTCTGTGGTTCTCGTGACAGATAGTATTGTTTGTTATTTTTTGGAGCCGTCATGAGTAGGATGCGTGGAATACCTAATTTCATCCTTATCAATATTCGATATTTTTCTTGAATCGAAGGGGAAAATGAAGTAGAATTTCACAATTTCATCAGGAAATAACGTGCTCTTTTAGTAAAAGATATAATTTCGTTACTTACATGTAGAAGTGTTACTTTTCAAAGAAAAGTCGTTGCATACGTTCATGATAAAACTTTTGCAGTTCATTTGTTTGACTTAAGTGATCGGCTCTATTGCGAAGGAGATTGTGTTCAGTGAATATAATAAGTAATTTCTGTCATTATTGCTCTCACTGAGGGTCACGAGCATGATCATCCAGGATGCCGTTGTGTTGAGAACTACACTCAGTTAGAGATATTTTTCCTTATGTGATCACCGAAATAATACTTCCATGATTTGTAACTATGTTGTGTTGAATCTTCAGCAAAAAAGCCAGCAATACCGAATAGTTCTGCTGATAATTTATTAGCTGGGTGATAAACGACAGATCAAAGTCGATTTTAATGCTTCTTGATTGATCCATGCAAAATATGACAGCGCGATTAGGCTTTTCTGATGAACCGCCTCATGACAGCTTTGCTAAAGATTTTTATTCAAGGAAAGTTCTTTCGCAAATTATCGTGAACCTCTACGTTTACTTTTTCCAATCAGGTCCCGAAGTAGTTGTGGAACGAGTCATTAGTACGATCAGTTCATTTAAAATCGATTCATATCTATGAAATCTCGATAAATACTTTCAAACATTTCGCTCTTAAACATGTTTTTCGGTCGGAAGTTAAATATAGAAAAAATGGCTCTAGCTTTGTACACCTGCAGAAAAAATGTCCAGGGCTAAGCCTACACTAGCATCAAATCTTGGTTACACCGCTACTAATGTCGGATTCTTTTTAACGCCAACCACGATTGTTTGAATAACTTTTGACTACTTGAAGGTATTGGGCTGCGGAGGCAGATAGTTCTCCTCGTATGCTCATCATGTCTTCTAGGCCTGTCTATGATCTAATCGGGAGTGTACCTATTTTCTTCTTGTAAAACCTGATGGATCAAGAAATTCATGTGCAGATGACGGCAAACATCTATGAAGAAGTTCAAATTACTTGTGAGTTGGATGCAGCATCGCCAAAACTCTGTTTATCTTACCACTAATCGACTGGGCATTTTTGCGTGGTATGACGCGACATGACTTTCTAGCTTCGAATATGACATACAGTAGTGTTGCTACCTATCACAAGAAAGGCGAATGTAGATCGATGATTGAGAGTATTTGATCGAAATCCAACGTATTTTCGCGTGTTTTCATTGAACACAAAGAAGAAAGGAAGCTTTTTATGTAGCTGCAAAAAATATATTGGAGTACTTCTACACCTGACATTAAGCGCTGATAGGCTCAGTTTAAAATCGAGAAAAATGCATGCAACCTTAATTAGACTACCGACAGTCCTGGGAAACATGATGAGGACACAAGGAACTATCTGCTTAACTCTTTGCGGACGGCAAGCAGATATGTGTACTTCGATTCTATTAATAATATAATCAGTATGTTCCGTAAGCAAATCTTTCAAGATACTCTAATGGTAGATATGACAATATAGACCACAGATTTATTATTTTCAATGCTTGTGTGAGTAAGTGTGAGTGTTATAACTGCATTCACATCCATATCCCACAGCTCCACCCACACCTACACGAGTATAGCAAGTTCCTGTACACAGTCTTCACAGACTTTATTCTTCGAGGTTATTATAGCTTGCTCTCGAGCACACGTGGAGCGCAAACGTAAACAAACGGCTAGATGATTATCTCAAAGATTAACTAAAGATATGCCTCGGATCAGGCTAGAATCGGTTGAGAAAGTGTTAAGTGATTCGCTCTAGTAATTTGAAATCCTCACCGAAACCAATGACAAACGGCCAACTTTTTTGCTAAATCGACACTGGGGAACACTTTCCACATAAAGAAAAGATTCTTCGAGTGTATTCGATGAGAAACATCGCTTCATCGAATTCAACAGAAAGTTGAGTTCACATTCGAGTTTCTGACTGTCTATTGTTCGAGAGCCCTGATTGAAAATACTTTAGTCATTTAAAATTTCATTTGTCTGCATCGATTATATAATTTCAAGCGACGCTTTTCAGGTTAGATTTTCTATTGTCGTATTTTGCATGTAAAGAATTTGTAGAAACGCAGTTTACATGAGGTAACCCAAACGAATTATTTGGTAGAAATGTAGAAAGTTGCAATTAAATCAAAAGGAATAGTTTTATCCAGATTTCAGAAGAAAGCTTTTGAAATGCCAAAATATGAGTTAATATACGAAAGAAACCGGCATGTGAATCAAGACCACCTATGATGGTCAGCTCCGAACTAAATTTGTGACTTCAAAGAGGAAAGGTTGTTTTGAAGAAAATTGGAACCAAATGCGCCATGTTTTATGCAGTGATCATCAATGTCAAGGATACATTAATTAATACAAGAATCAGGCCTGCGTTTTCCTTAGATTATCATAGCTCTTTTGAATGATGAAAACCATAGCTTGATAGCTTGAATTGGTCAAAAGTTATTCAAAAAAATTTCAGATTGACATTTTAAAAAAAATTTGGCGTTAGATACTAATCTAAAAGACAATCTTTTTCTTTGTCTGATAGAATAAACGAGATTTGTTGTGCATCTTCGAGACATGTTCATGCCGCTTTCTTTTCAAGAGTAATTTTGAAATTTAAACATAAACTTCTCAACAAAATTCCGACCTCTGCTTTGTTGAACGCATTGAACAGTTCTCAAAATGGAAATGAGAAAAAAATCGTCGTAATGTCTAAGGAAAGTAAAATTTTTGGAAAAACGGAGCAATAATATCTGTTTCAAATTGTTTCATAAACGATCCTGTTGCACTCGTGCTAGACGGGCAAAATCAACGAGGTACAACTAGACGAGTATTTCACTCAGTTTCGATAAATCAAGGATATTCGTTGCTATATGTGACGCGCATTCCATTACTGTTGAATCTCGATGAAAAAGATTTCTCTCGACTCCGGAGAATTTCTCTTTAGGTTGGTATTACAAGTTTTGGCAAAGGATGCGCCTTGAAAGGCGACCCCGGTATTTACACACGACTAGCTTACTATCACGAGTGGATCGACACAATTGCGGAGGAACCAGAAAAACCAACATCAATGACATACACA